TTAAAATTACACTGCATTGCATGGTAGTACAGTGTATTACATTTCGCTGCACTACATGGCACAACATTGCATTACATTACATTCCATTACATCACATTACACTACATTACATTACATCACAACGCAACACAATTCATTACATCACACTACATTACATGACATGAAATATCATACGTCACTATATATATGCGCATCTGCATACTGGCATGCATTACGCTACACTACGTTACATTCCAATACATTACAATACATGACATTACATTGCAATGCACTGCACTACATGAGACCTCATTCCATCACGTTACGTTAGATTACATGCATACATACCTACCTACATACGTACATGCTTACATAAATACATACCTCTAGATTTCCACACACACACACAGACACATACATACATACATACATACATACAGACATACAAACGGACAGACAGGCAGACAGACGGACGGACAGGCAGACAGACAGACAGACAACATGCACGCACGCATGCATTGCATGCATACATACATACCTCCCCCACAAAGAGGCAAGCGGAGCGCAACCTGGCTATGTTGTTTCCCAACCCTCATGTGTTGGGTGCTTGTTTTGCATTGGGCGCTGTGGATCCTTCTCATCGTCCTGCCTACTGTCTCCTGCCTGTGCTTCGATGTTACCTCGGTGCTGCCAGACGTTCTAGGGCCCTCCCAGGCGCGCCACTGTCGCCATTCTGCTGCGCCCCAAAGACTTCAGCGGAGAAGCATCATACGCAGATCAAACGGGACCTCGCCCTCTCTGGGTGCTGCCGGGCACGCATCTGCCGCCACGTTCCTGGGCCTCTGTGGAACGAGCCCCAGGGCGACTACGGAACGAGCCCCTGTCCTCGTGGAGCGGGCTCGGGGGCGTCTTTCCACTGGGCCCGGACCCCTTTATGGCACGGGCCTGGGGCCTCTGCGGAACGCGGCCCGACCGAGTCAGCACAGGACGCGGCGTGAAAGAGCAGGGCACGCTCTGCGAGGCGGGAATGTATCCATATCCACCGCCTGGGGAACCGACGTCTTGGGACCCCAGCGGGCGGTGATACTACGCCGTTACAGAAGTTCGTCACGTTTTATGGGAGCGTCAAGATGACGCAGGTTTCGTTCATTACTTCCGCGCGAGCGGGCGGACGAAGGGTGACCTATGCCCCGACCGCGCCAAGCTGCTCCTCCCTTCCCACTTAGAATCCTAGCGGGCTGGGTCAAGAGCGGTCATATCAAAGATCCAGGATTTCTAAATCCGGGATTTCCTCCAGTTATATACTAGTATAGATCTAGAACGGGGTATATTGAACTCCCGACGTCAAAACACACGGTTTTAGAAATCCCACTGGGCGGGATGCTGCCCAGCCAACGCAAGATGATTAGATTCCGATTCATGCCAAAACTTGTGTAGCGCCGATGTATGGATACATCTTTGACCCAAGGGTGCCAAATCCATATGCATATATAGAGATATGTTTATATATATATGTATGCAAGCAGACAGATGTGTGTAAATATACGTGTATGTGTATATATATATATGCACATATATGTATAGATGTATCCAAATCCACCGCCTGCCAGAGTCCCCAAAAATCGATCCCCCTGGCGGAGGTAATGTATAGATCCCCGCCTCTGGCGCTCCGCCCTCCCAGCAGGGAGCAGGCGCACGTAGATGGGAGTCAAGCGCACAACTCCCCTGCACCACATCGCACGGCGACGAGTGGGGACCGAGCGAGGGCCCAAAGAACGAGCGAAGCTATCTCCTCCTCCTCCTCCTCCTCCTCCTCCTCCTCCTCCTCCTCCTCCTCCTCCTCCTCCTCCTCCTCCTCCTCTGGGGGGGCAGAAGAGGGGAGGCAGAGGGAGGAGAGCGCACAGACGAGCCGCACCGCATGCCGGGCTCTTCCTGCGAGGTCTTGTCGTAGTCGGACTTCTCCATCTGCCGGACCTCCGTGATGGACCTCGGCAGATGCGGCCGGCCCGTATCATAAGGATGACCGATACACGTCGTTCCTTTCTGATCGTGCTCATTTCTAATTGTGCGCGTTTCTAATTGTTCCTGGCCCCCTAGTGGCCAGGGAGACGCCCGGGGCAGAACAATTAGAAATGCAAGGATCCTGGCCCCGCACAAAGTCAAACAGCCTTCGAAGAAGTAGAAGCGAACAACGTGTAAGGAGGATACAGGGGCCTTGGAAGTCTTGGCGAGCGGGCACGGCCACCGAAAGCGGCCAGAACCCTTGGGAGAACGTTGCCCTTCCTTGCCCTGCAGCTCGCCTTCTGCCCGGCGCCGCCGCGGCGGCGGCCCCAGCGGCACGCGAGGCCTCGCGAGCGGCTCGCGTGCCGCTCCTAGGGGGCCACGTGCGAACCCTGCCCCTGCCCCCCACCGATTTCCGAGGGGGAGGGTGGGCTTCGCTTCGCTCGGGAGCTCCCGAGCGAAGGGAGCCCCACCCTCCCCCCTCCGGAAATCGGTGGGGGGCAGGGGCAGGGTCCGCATT